TTTCATGCTGATTTTCAAACCAGTCTTTTGCTGTACATTCATTTGCTGGAAGGAAATAATTATTTCCAAATGACTAAATTCTGTCATCAAAAAATATATAGTTCTAATTTCTTGAAGCATTAATTACTTCTCTTCCATTTTAATAGTTCTAATTTCTTGAAGCATTAATTGCTTCTCTTCCATTTTAGGTACAATTTGAAGAGAAAATTTTCAAGGTGGTATGTATACAGGAAAATGTACAGTTCACATTGGCATGTGAGTGAAGGTGATAGTCTTGGTTGAAGGTTGTGGAGGTCCAGCAGTTCTTCATTACACTAAGCTGGTGATATGAGTCCTCTTACTATAGTGGAGGACTGGCTGTAGTGAACATTTCCTAAACTCACACACATTATTTTATGCCTACACTTAATACTAGATTTAAAGGTCTTCTATATCTTTAAGATTTGCAAGCTTTAAAGATGGAAAGTCTGTGGGGTGAATCCTTGGTTGGTGTAATCAATGGAATCGTCATCATTGTGGCAACAGTGACAATGAATTCTACAATTTACTTAGAGAAAAAATTTATTTTTAAAAATATCAATCTTGCTTCTCTGATAATTCATTGTGTCACTCCTAATTTTTGAGTTTTAAGGACCAGTGCTTACTTGTTCCTTATTTAGAATCATAGAATCACTTAGGCTGGAAAAGACCATTAAAAACATAAACTCCAACTATGAACCCAGCACTGATTTAGTCATAGCCTCACTATTGATGACCCTGAAGAAACTGGAGACTCTTACTTTATTGTGTCTCTCCTTACACGAGAGCAATTCCATCCTACACCATTTCTTCTTTCAGATAAGCTCATAAAAACTGAATCAATTATTCCAACACAGGCACATCCCTGCTTTCTACCAGCATCCATTATTTTCCTCTTTCTCTGTTGAGCCTCTTCTTGCATGTCTTTTGTATGCCAACAGCCTGTTGGCTTTGCTACATGAGCTGAGCACTGAACTGGTAAGTTCTGGTTGATTTTTGATTCTTGTTGTCATGTGCATCACTTTTCATTTCTAAACAGTGAATTTTATCGTGCTGCCATAAAGATATGTAGAGCATAGATAGACCCTTTCAAAAGGCAAATAATCCATCCTAAAGTAAGATTCTAATTCACATGAACTAAGTTGCCCAATAGCATTCTAGGTTTACCTTCACAGGCTCTAATTTTCCTTAGCATTTTACAGACATTGTCACTATTTTGACTGAGTAACTGATAAATATTACAAATTTCTTCTTTAGCCATGGACCCTTAATCAGTGGAGACTCTTCAAGATATGTTCATAGATCTTGTTGTCTGTATGCTTCCTTCTAAACATCTCTGTGGTGCCTCTTACAGCAACGATACCATTTTAAAGCAACCATTCAGTTAATCTATCACAGTTCTAGAGCAAAACATTTCCAAAGAAGTGCTGTTGCTATTACTTTTATTTGTGGCCAGTTGTATGTTTTCTTTTTTTCATACACCATACCAGGACATTTTTATTTATCTGTTATTTGCTAATTTTTCTTTAAAATCAGTATCTGCCTTTTGTCTCTGTAATTTCATTTGTAAAGATCCCAATTACTTTTAGGTAGTTATTGGTACAAGTAATGCCAGTCTATGTCGGACTACAGGGCATTATAGGAAAAGCTCTTCAAGGACTTCCCCACATCTTCTAAGGTATTTTGATCATGTGTACACGCTCTAGTTCTCATTGAGGAAACTTTTTATTATGCAGTAAAATGAAACAAAGCAAAAATAGTAACTTCCTAAAAGACCTCTGAGAGTACAATTCTTTATATAGATCACGTAGGAGGGCAACAGAACAAAATTGGGCACTTTGCTATTCTGAGGAATAATCAGTGTATTTGAAGAAAAGCATCCAAACATCTCTCAAAATCTCTGTAAAGGTTACACAGGTCACTTAGGGCACACCTCACTGCTTATGGCAGTGTTTCAAATCCCTTAGGAGGTAATGAATGGTCTCTTAGTTTGCTGACTATAAGAAAAATAAATACACACTCATTATTTTATTTTTGTACATAACAAGATCTTTTCAAAACCATAACACAATCTCTGTAGCTGAGACAACTGTTGAAGCTAAAAGGGATTAAATGTAGACACTGTGTTCCTGTGTGCAGTAGACTTTATATAGGTCTATACAGTGTGGCACAAGAGGTTATTTCCAAGGTTCTGAGATGCCCACCTTATAAGCTTAATAAATTGAGCTATCTTTATGCTGTTTCCAAGGTGCTGAATGTAGACAAATAATTTAACCCCACACTTGACACATCTTAAATGTATTGAGGCTTATAACCGTCTCCAATTTACACTGGTTTTGACCCACTGACCATGTTTAGCTATCCTGGTTATAAAAAAAATGAGAAAAGAAATGCAATGTTGTTTTTCCTTCACTAAAGAACCCTCCATAAAACCACAAAATAAAAAAAAAAAGGAAGCATAAGGCAAAATTATTCACTGTCTACATCAGCCATGATGCAGGAGATATAATGCATTGATAGAAACAAGCCATATTGAGGATTCCAAGGTTAAATGAGTTTATTGAGTTAGTGGTTACAATGGTATGTCAGATACCTGTAATCCAAGCTACACCTACATATTTGCCTCTAAATTCTCACACTGTCAGTTTTGGTGTCTAAACATTCCACCACCAGGTCTTCTATTACTAATATAATAATAATCATCATCATAATAATCATAATATAAAAGGCAATGTCAATCACCATATTGTGCTTCATACTCCACCATAAGGAATTCAGTTGGCAAAAGTAAACCTCTGGTCATATTAATGGGAATAATTGAAACGTGAGCAATCATAACACTACTAGAATATAAAGAACAAAATATGGTTGAAAAGAAACATTTTTTAAGATGAATTAGTTTGTGTCTTTTAAAAATTCACATACTATAATGAAGATGACTTAAAAGTTATATCATTTAATTATTGGGCCACACATTTAAGCATATTGGCTAGTACATTTTTGCACTGGAACAGAAGCAATACAAGCTTTATGGTCTACCATTACAATTCCTTTTTTTTTTTTTTTTCCACTTAATATACCTGCCAACCTAATGTTTCTTGCATGCATAAAAATTTCTGGGCTTAGACTTGAATTTGTTATCTAACCCACACGTACCCCTGCGATGCAGATTCTTTGGCCAATTTAATGCTCTAGTTTAGTTTAAAAAAGAAGCTTGGAGTAAGTCCGTTTAACATCAGAAGAGAATGCCCTAAATTTTGGCATTGCAGAAATTTAATTGCTTGCTTCAGTTTGCATGCAAATTGACACTGCTTCCCCCCACCCCATGCCAGACGCATACAAGTCGGCAGGTATGCATACAAAAAGAATATAAAACCCTCCTGGTAAAGCTCAGTGCTTTAGAATGAATCCATAGCTTTAAATTCACTTAAGGCCTGTACAGGGGAAATATGTTTCTTCTGGGACCCTCTTCTCACTCTTGTCTGATATTCTTCTGGTTTTTCTCTCTTTACTAGAGGTTTCTTCTCAGGGGCCTTCATCTTCCAAGATACAACTGGTGAGTTCACTGCAGCAGTACCATAGACCTTCTGATATTTAGTAGAAGCCACATATGATGCTTTCACTGTAAGGACCACAGCGTTCATCAGATTTTTAGCTGCCTGGATGAGAGAAGTGGCACTGTCCAGCTACAAGTAGAAAAGAAGATGAAATACAGCAAGGTTACTCCATGACAGGATCACTGGACCATTTCCTGACTGAAGTCTGGATAGTCTCAGATCTCATTAAATATGAAATGAATCCTCTACCTCAGGATTAATCAGGTAGCTTCTAGTAACAAGCACCAGCAACAGCATGCACCAGCTGTAAAGGCAAGACTGTGGTAGTTCACATTAATTTTTTTAATAATTCAAAGGAAAACCTGTGTTGGCTGTTTTTCTTCTTGTTGATTCTTTTCCTAACAGTGAAGAAGTTGTCTCTTTTTTAGAAAAAAACACCTTAACTTCTCACTTAAACCTTTAAAAATTTACTTTTACATGTGAGAAGCTGGAAAACACGTCAACAGGGATTTTTCCATGTGTTCAGGTTTGTTCTAATTATTCCTATCTAGCTCAGGATAACACCACCACTGATGTCTACAGGAACAGTGTGAGGCCAGTGCTGAGCTTGTTAGAGAATCCTGTCTGGAAAGATGAAAGGAGATTTAGAAACCCCTGAAGAAATAAAAAGATGAAACAGTTAACTGTAAGGTTTTGTAGCTCCTGTAATACTTGGGCTACTTATGTTCACAAGGATTCTTAGTTCATTTTTAGCAGACTTTTCATACATATACCCTCGTGTTTCTCCCATGAACAAGTCTGTCTGAGGTTACTGGTCCTCTGGATGTAGGAGGCTTTAAGAACTGTTGAACTTCAAACCATTGGGACTTCCAGTCAGCAAGCTTCCATCATACACTGAAATCCATTTCCCTGGCCAGTTTGTTCAAAAGAATTAAAGCAGATACTGGTACTTCCAAAGCAGTGCCTCAATGTTCCAAAATGCAAATTAGGCACTTGCCAAATCCAACTGGGCATCCTCACATTAGTAGGTGCTAAAAGGATGCTTTTAAGTACTGTAGCAACCCAAGTGACTATTTAGGATGTTCAATTCTGCCTTTTGTAAAATACTGAAAAAGTGGGATATGCTCATTGTGATAAAACCTTTCAGTTCTATCATGGAAGCTGCCTCTATTTTTATGAGTCTTTCCCAGTCTGTAGGAATGATTTTGGATGGAATATTACATTAAATCTGTAATTCCACCCCTCTTGTGCAGTATATTCTTAGCTATTTTTAAGTTAGCATAAAAATCCTCTCTCCCCCCAGACCTTCCCTACTCCATATTTTGGGAACACATGATCTCTTCAGATGTATTCTATCAAGGCAACCAAGATAAATACTCACAAGGAAATAACAAAAAGCATGTTATACTTCACCTCAAGCACTTTGAATCATTAACAGAAGAAGAGTTCAGGAGAAACCTCTTTCTGAAGTGTCAGTGACTGATGTGAACAAGGACAGACATTCCAGAAAACCTGGGTCTGGAACCACATTCATCTACAGACTCACCTGCTATGTTTTATTTCCTCAGCTGGGGCTTTATACTTGTTATGATTCACTAAATACATAAACAGCTACACAGAGTGAGGTGAAAGACAAAAAAGCATTTTAATGATTTTCACATCCTTAGCATGCTTGCTGCCATTCCCTGAAATGCAGTTAATTGCCTGCCCCCAGTAAATATTTTTCCTCAGGACTAATTTGTATTTTCTGTTAGTAAAAGAAACTAAGTTAAAAGATGGAAAATTACATTCTGTGGCAGAAACATGGCTGTTCAATAGGGAGTAATGAAATATAATTCAGCATAGTGTTATTCTATAGCCACAGTACTGCATGATTTATAAGGCAATCTGTATGTTTGTTGGCAAATAACAGATCATATTCTATTAAATTAGGATACTCTAATTTACTGCAGAGATTTACAATCAAACATTATTCATTGTTAAATGATTCTGTTTGAAATACTGGTGGATTGATATTGAATATATAGTGATAACCATCAAATAGTATTTACTTCATAATCAATGTGGATAAACTGGATCTAGCCTCTATTGCACCCTCCTGAATGAATTCTCTTTGTTGAAGGTTTTAATAGCCTCCCATTTCCCAGTGTTTCTTTATGGAAAGATTTCTGGTAGCTGTTTTACATCAGGCATATATTAAGGAACAGAATGATTAAAGGAAGCCTTTTGAAAAGAGAAGGCACCTAAATCAGATGCTTAAAACCTTACAAAGGATGCAATCTGCATCTTTAAACACGCTGGTAATTTTATGGGGTGCATCGATAAGGGTGTGTAGCAGCCTCCCCTTCTGCAGGACTGGCTGGGGATTGCAGGGATGTCTTTCAGAAAATCACGTTACATATTTTGATGCCATTTTAATTATCTCTAGTTTCAATCTGCTGTCACAGTAGGTAAGAGCTCCATATTTTCACCATTATTAATCACATTTTAACATGCAGATACTTAGCCCTTGCCCTTAATATCCATTCATACTGAAAAATCCTTTCAAGTCTTGGAATCAGAAAAGAGACATAAAAACCCCATAATAGTATTAGGCTGAGTCTTCTCCAAAATCTGCTGGTAGCCATCCCATGTACCCAATTTGGCTACCTAAGCATTTCCAGTGATTTTCGTATTGCCTCCAGCTCCTTGCTTGTATTATGGCTCAGTAAAGAAGAATTAAACTGAATGAACATCATTTCAATTAACATTTAGGTCTTACTACACCACTGTGTTACTTCAGTTTTGAGCTGTGCTTTGTAATCAGCAGAGTTACAGTGGCATAAAGCTGGAAGGAGGCAGAAATGAATCACGCCCTTAGTGCATTAATTCCTTACAAAACCTGGCAACAGAAACATATGCACTTTTCCAAACAGATAGTGTTAATAATAATAAAAAAAAAAAAGGAAAATTAACATTTCAAATAAAAGTACCACTAGGAAATTATTGTGCAATACAGAAGGCAAATTTCACTCCCTAGCAATGGCTAGGGAATTACAAATAAAACTACAGCTTTCTGTGCTAACAGAGCCTTTGACTTGCTACACAAATAGTGTTCTGCTCCTTAGATCTCTTTACAAATAGATTTGCCTCCATTTAGGAAAAAAAAGCCCTCTTAAACACAAGAGATAAATTTAGGTTAGTAGCCCATAAAATTCCAAGAGCAAAGACTGCTGAGGAAAATTCAAAATTAATAAAAAACTTAAGAATCACTGCCCTGGAGCCAGTCACTTATCCAGGTTAAAACTGCCATCTACCCAGTGAAGGATAGAAAAAAATGGAAAAAAGATTTTGCTATAAGCTAACTTTGTAATTAGTGAATGCAAGGGTAGAACATTGGAGCAGCAGAGCCTGTTAGATGCCAAGAAGACAATTTCAGGGTGTTTTTTACAAAAAAAATATCCTTTGGGCTCTGATGAGTTTTTGATCTGCTTCTAAACTGTGCTGTATTTTTCCTTCACTCTATGTGGAATTTACCAGGATCTTGTGATAATCAAGATTTCTTGCCTCTTTTAGATACACACATAATCTAAGTAAAATAAGCAGCAACTGCAATAACAAAATAGCTGAAGAAGTGGGAAAGAATAAAGCTGGTAATTTTTCTCCTTAACATTGAAGCAAAAGAAAAGCGATGCTCTCCCTGCATTGTCACATCTGTAATGGGGAAGAATTATGCCACAGATTTTAGAAAGGAGAAAATTTAATTTCTGGAGATATCTTCATATTTATTATCAGAAAAAAAAGGTAATGGAAATAGAGAAGAAAAAAAATCTGTATTTCCATTGAGCAAAGATACAGTATAGGTAGTTAGAAAAGAGCTGGTTGTTTAAGAATGTTCTGTATCATTCTTGTTGATTTTAATAAATCTTAAAAAGTGCAGGAAGGCATTAAAAGAATTGTAGATAGTTCCCAGTCTGGAAGTATTTGAGCAGCACAAATATCTGTGAAATTATAGGCCAGTTCAGCTGACAGCACTCCCCAAAATAATAACGCCATGTCTATGAAAGACTCCATAAATAAAGGGAAGAAAGATATACAGTTAACTGTAACCAAATATTTTCACAGGTAAAACTATTTTCTAAGTAACCTGGATCATATTTTCCTGTGATTAAACTTTGGATTGCTTACAATTATACAGTTGATACAACTGAACCTTTGAAAGGTGTTTTGACATGACAATTAGATTAAAAACTCAGCAGATAGAATATTAACAAGTAATTCCAAATTCTGTAACAGATAAGTTTCAAAATGTATACATACACAAAAGTCATTACTAAACAGTGACTTTTGCAGTGAGATTCTGGAGAAAACATTTTTCAGCTTTACAATATTAATATATCTGTTAAAATCTTTGAAAAAAAAGTCACAACTGATGAAATTTTTGGATAAAATAACAATTGGGAAAGTGGCAAATCATAGAGAGGGAAAGTGATTGATAACTAATAATCTGTTAGAACTCAGAAACATAGATTTCAGTTTGGCCAGTTTTCTAGCAGATGATATCTGCTTATATAGTAAGGAACTATGCAGAATCATAGGAAATCATTCCCTGAGTATAAAAGGAGGACACTGATGAAATAGGTGAAGTGATCATATTCTGTTTATCATGTCTCTGTAGCTATGGACTACTGAGTCCTCAAAGCAAAATCAACATTGAGGAAACAGAAAGAATTTAAAGAATATCAAGAACAGAAAACATCTTTTATGGGAGAGATTCGGTCAGCTCTGTTTTTTCCATTAATAAAATGCAAGATTAAAAAGTGAGTCAATCAAAATCAGTGAGTACATAGTAACAGAATGCTGATAATATTTCAAGTTCAAAAGATTAGACAAAGATATAACAGAACTAAATGGTTGAAAGGTGAAGCAGGTCATTTTAGTTAATAATTAGCTGAATTTTCTTATCAGTGATATTAATTAATCACAAGATAGTGATTCTGTCTCTAGAAACTGTGAAATCAGTATCAGTTTTGCTTAATATGTGCACTCTAACCATAACTATTGGACATTTTTAAGGCTCATCACTTCAGGGAACCTATACATGTTATGCAGGAAAACAGCTTAGATGATAACAATAACCCACATTGACT